ACCAAGTTCACGGGCTAAAAAAACAAACAACAAAACATACGCCACCACAATGGCTGCTAGCTTAATATTAAAATAATAAAAGGACTTTACCTAAAAAGTATTTGCATTTTATGTATTGTATTTTTACATTTGGTCCACAGCCTTTGGACAGATTTTCATTTCGGCCCACTCAGAAAAAAAGTTTGTGCACCCCCGCACTATGCTCAGTGTGGCACACAAAACAATAATCACCCAGTGGCAAGTTTAACCTGCTAAATAACCTGAATGGCTGAGGAAAGGCTGGAAAACACCTGTGATACTAATTAGGTCAAACATTTAGTTTGAAACATGATGGCCGCAAAGACAAATAATTTTTAAGGGTATCAACAAAATKTTGCACATCTTTGTCAGATAAGCAAGAAATAATTAATTTTAACACTATTTTAATATATTTTATCACATACTACAGACATGCAGATAGACGTTTGACTTTTACCTGACAAACCATTCATGAGAACGGAAGTTTTTTTCATGTCTATAGTTATAAATGTCATAAAACATTTTTTAATTGTAACTGGGATTGATTTAATCTTTTCAGTCTCCTCATTTATTAGCCATTTTTCTATATTTCACATCATTCTCTCCTGTTTTATTCTCAACCTGGTTGTCCTTCGCTCCTCGTGCAGGGATTACAATTGTTGGCTTGACTGCAGTCATGTGTGGCTTCACAGCTGGCTTTGCAAATCTGGCTGCTTGTCAAAATCCCAAACCTCTAAAGCTGTTTTGCAGTGAAGTGAGGTTTAATTCTTTTGAATTATTTTCAAAGTCTCCACTGAGCCGTTTCACCGCACCTATTGATTTGGGATAATTGGACCTTTTGAATGATATGTACTCCTGACAAACGTTTGAGTTTAGCGTTGTTCGTTTTTGTTATAAGCTGTTAGTTAGTCTCTGCTGGCTCCTTAACACAGGGGAGGTCAGAAATCCAGCAACAGAAGAGCCTCCATGGAGCTTTTCTTATTGCTCGCATTACAGAAACTTAGATCTATAGTGTTGCTTTCATTTGCATTCAGTCTCATGAGCTCAAAGCAATTACTGAATAAACAGGATGTCTTTTAGACCAGAGATTCTTAACCTATGGGCCGCSGCCCAATTGTGGGCCGTGAGCGCCACCTTGAGGGCCTCAAAAGAACAACAGTGCAACAACTTTGGGCCGCAGAGGGCCGTGGGACCATTTTGAATAAGGTGCAATACACTTTCTCACCACTAGTAGCAGAAATGCGCCACTCAGACGTTTAACAACTTTTTTTAATACGTAGAAGAAGAACCTTAGAAACCTGCCGAGAATGGAAACTTATTTTAAATTAAAAGCAGAAGACAAAAATGAAGGTAACTCATCAAAAAAGGCTAAAGTTTGTCACTAATATTAAGAGCAGCTTCTGTTTTTACCATGTAATATTTTAAAAGTTCAAAACATTATCAAATACAGTTGCAGATGCAACTATATTTTAATTTGCACTTTATCAAATTATTTTTGTAGTTTATTTTTATCATTTTCTCAAAAAGCTGTTGTTACTGTTATTG